CACTCCACCCACTGTAAAATCTTCACACAAAACACTAAAAAGCCAGTGGTCCAGAAAGTGGTTTTGTGTGAAAATGGCACCTAAAGAAAGTGGCTACGATACAGTGAAGAATGCAATGCATTGTTTTGCTCTGTTTGCAAGAGACATTTTTGCCTTGGGAGACCCTACCAGGGGCTATTGCCCCCGACAACATAGCCCCCAGGGTCACTGAGGCACGCAAACCCCTCCACCACGATAAGGTGGCAATCCAAGGAGGGGGAGGTAAGACACATCTCCAGAAAAATTAGAAATAGCTGAGGATTTTTGCTGTAATTGGACCTTAATGGGCTCATAAGTGCTGCTGCTAAACTGAAGAGGACTTTGCTGTTTCAACTAGACAACTAGGTCCTAATATAATGATTACTCTGCTCCGTAATGGCATCTAACAATCTAGTGATGTGTTTTTTTTTTATACGCCGATCATAGTCCATGTTCTCCATAGTGCATATATGGAATCAAGTTCAATCAGGTTGGATACCGTATTAAACATTGCAAGCTTCTAAAAGTGTACCTGCGCAGTACTCTGATACCAGTTCTAAGATTTTATAATCCAGTGTAAACTAAGGATTGGAAACAGACCTTGTGTAACAGTGACTGATTATGTACTATATGTACTGGCCTCATAAACCCTGTCAGTCCTCATATACCAGATAATGGTTAAAGTTGTGTATTGTAAATCAACCGACCTTATAATCCCAAATGTCCTGGTAAACATTAAAAATGTTGTGTCCCTGTAAGCCTGTGAATTGTCAGGTGTTTAAAGTCTTTGTGTTCTCAGCACACTAATTTAAATTTGAAGTGGGATGTATCTTATTTACACCAAATAAATTTTTTTGGTGTTAGTTTTCTGTTGAAGAGACAGTGGGAAAGGGGTGTCCCCATAAACCACTGTGGGTTCAGGTTGTCCTGCTAAACAATATATATATATATATATATATATATATGTGTGTGTGTCTGTCTTTACCCTACTTAACCCTCTGGGGTCTATGGGTAAGACACACTTTCACTGACTGGGGCATGATCACACATTTCTTCAAATATCAAACTTAATTCATGGCAAACTATTTGTTTTACCATTACACATCTTTATTTTAATGTTTTGAAAAGACAGGTTATGGATTTAGCCAGCGTTTTTTCATGATTCTACATACAGATTTCAGCAAGCTATAAATGGAAATAGATGCAAAAAATACCAACCCCCAGGCTGACATGCGATTCCGACAAACCCACCGGCATCGGCCATCTATCTGTAGCCAGGTGTGATGTGGGCGTCCCCTTGGCCTGGTCCAGCTGCTCGGGTCCTTAGCAACGAGGATCCTGTGAGTCGGATCACCCTCAGAGAATGTCATCACATGGCTGTAGTGTCATAACTTACACTCCCTCACAATTCAGGTAATGTGCTTCATTTAGGACTTCCTGACCAACCACTCATTTGACACAGTCATACTCGCAGTACCCAAGGTTTCTCTGAAGAGACATAATACCAAAGGAGTTCAGTCTTGTCTCACAACCATAGAGCACCAGGAATCTAAAGACTTGGACCTTTGTCCTCTAACAAAGATATCAGGAGCACTGCACACCCCTTTCCAGCAGCCACATGACCCCCCTGCTCTCCCATTCCGTCTGCTGTCTTCGTAGGAAGAGTCACCAGAGACATGAATGTCGCTACTGAGGTAAATGAACCTCTTTATGTGGTCAAAATTCTTTCCACAGACAGATACAATGCTGATAGCTGTGCCCAAGAGATCACTAAAGGCCTGGACCTTGGTTTTTATCCAGGACACTCGCAAGCCCAGACACTCAAACTCCTTGCTCAGTCTCTCGAGGGCCTCCATTGACTCCACAAAAATCACAGCATCATTGGCAAAATCAAGATTAGTGAGTCTTTCTTCACCAACAGGTGCTCCAGTCGCTGGATCCACAACCCTGTCGAATACCCAGTCCATGCAAGCATTGAACAGGGTATGAGTGTTACGCTCCAGTCTAGGGTTGGATCCTAACAAAGTGAAAGGAAAGGAGGGATTGGGAAGGACAAGACAATCAGGAGTAGGAGAAGGGAACACGGGACACAAAGGGAGTCTTTTTACAGTTTTTCACAGACACTTTACAAACACTAGGTGTAACGAACGTCAGGAGTGACAAAGGCCAAAGAAACAAACACATCTACCGAAAACAATCACAAGCTAAGTTAATCCTAAATGAATATAACAAAAAGGTGAAACAAAAGAACAATGCCTAAGCCTATCTCCCTAACCAAACAAACAGTAATCCCCACGTTGTCGAAGAAACAAAAAGGCAGACACTCCTTACACACACCTAGTGAACACACAAACACACAGCCAAAGCGACAGTATCCAGAGGGGAGATCAAAGAGGCGAAGTCAGAGTACGAGCGAAAGTTCAAAATCAAGACGACAGTCAAAACCAGGGTGAAGGTACAATAAGGGACGAGGCGAAAATCGGAAACCAAGAACAAAAGCAGTCATACACGAGCATTCAAACCAAAGGCAAAGCGAATTAAGAGCGAGCTAGCAGGCGAGAAGCAAGCAGCGGGCAGACGAAGTGACGAAGCTGCAGCCTCTTCAGCTGACGAACCAGAAACTGCTCCGAAGGCAAGGGAGACGGGGCCAGGTCCGGAAGGCGGAGTCTAGGGAGTGGTTGACGAATGGGCGAGTGGGCAGGACGTCCGAAGAAACTGTAGGCATCCTCCTGAACTTACGGCACGTAACACTTACCGAAACACGTACCCTGACCTTTCAACACGTATCTCCCTTACGGCGCGTACTACTTATGGCACGTACCCCAAACTTATGGCACATAACACCCCCTCACACATGAGTGAACTCCGACAGGAATTCACAATCACAAACAGAAGTTACAAAAATGATCAAACAGGACCATTTAAAAAAAACAAGACAATCACAGAAAAGAAAAGTTCAATCAGGCCTGAGAGAGGGCATCGGCCACTAGGTTGTTAATCCCTTTTTTGTGGGTGATCACAAGATTAAAAGACTGCACAATTAAGGCCCAGCGCATGAGACGCTGGTTGGTGTTACACATGCGCGAGAGAAAAACTAAGGGATTGTGATCGGTGTAGACCGTCACCGGCTTGGGAGTATCCCCCACATACACTTCAAAGTGTTGTAACGCAAATAAAAGAGCGAGGGCCTCCTTCTCTATGGTACTATATGGTAATTGATGCTTCACGAATTTCCGGGAAAAATAACAAACAGGGTGGTCGAGTTCACGGTTGTCCTCCTGCAAGAGGACAGCACCAGCACCAATCCCACTAGCATCCACCTCCAGTTTGAAGGGCTTAGAGGACGAAGGTGAAGAGCTGTCGGGGCAGGCAACAACATTCACCTTTCGCAAGCTTCCTTGCACTTTAACGCAGGACAAACAGATATAATATGGCCCACTTCATGGCAGTAGAAACAGTCACATTTCTCCACGGGCGGTGGAGATGGTCCTGACGAGGGAGAGTCCACAACTGGACGAGGGTGAATTTTGTTCCTGGGATTTTCCCGAAACACAGGAACAAGACCGATGTGTCGGCTAACATCAAAACTCGACTTACCAATTTCCGGGGAGACAGGCGAACTCAAGGGAGACCGGGGACTGGGCCTAGGAGCATCTGGGGCACGTATGCCATTCACCGTCATGCTTTCGAATGCAGCATCTATAGGCAAATTGTTACCCGTAAAACACAAATACTAAATATATTTTCTAGAATCTGCATGTAGCAAGCCACAGTACGACTATGCCCCTCTTACTTCATTAGAGCGTAAGGGAAGCTCCCCAAAATGACACATTACACAAGAAAAAAAAAATTACATATATAATACACCATAAAACCACATCCAACACTGTGAACACAGATCACACTAGTGAATGACACAGGAAATCACAGAAATAAGAACAAACCCAGTGGGCAAACCTGCACCCGGACTACAAGGGGCCGGCTGGCAACAAACTGCCTAATAATCAACCCAGGATATACATACAATAAACACAAACAAAACAAAGAAAATAAAACTAGCCAGCCGCTTCCGCTACACTCCACTACCAGAGCCACCAAGCCGGCTGGCTAGATAATACACAATACAACCTCAGATAAAAAAAAAGATATTCAAGCGACACCAGGGAGGTTTACTTGTAGATCCTTAAAAGCATCGACCCATAACTGCACTTTACAAATGCCTAAAGAACAGCAGTTTACCCCGCAACTCAGCGCCCCATTCAAACCAAATAAGCAACAGGAAGGCGCCTATGCTGCGCATTCAACATGCCCGCCGATTCTCCACGAAATCCGCCAGGACCCCGAGCTGCCTTTCCTGTGCCTGCTCCTTTTATCCCTACCCTATCATCAGAGCATACGCAGCCAACTCGCCCCGTATCCAGTCTTAACTGCAGTCCTCACACTTGCCTATAATCGACCGGCTACAAGCACATAAATAAAACAAGAACATCTGAGAGGTTATATACCATAGCTCTACTTTGCTAACAAAGCTATAGACATTACAAAGCTCTTTATTTTTAATGACATCGTTAAAAAACAATCACGCAGTACAGGATTTTGACTACCTAAGGAGACCTAAAAAATCTGAGGACTGCAATTGATTAATTATCTCTGAGGTCAATTTAACATATAGGGCCAACAATTCTAGTAATATTAAGAATTGAATATTAATTTATTTGCTTAACACTTTCTAACTTTCATTAATAGTGAACAAGTTACGGATAATTCAGCTATAAGCAGAATTTTTGTTGCTGTCAATAATTTACCAATGTGATATTTGGCTGCTCTTTAGTTGTGAAGGATGGACAATTTCCGCGACACCTGAATGTTGTACCGTCGAAGCGCGCATGCCGGTGTGACATTGACTGTCCTGGACAAGACAAGGGCCGCATATTTGACTGTGGTTCTGTTTGCGTATCACCTGCTTCAAGTAAGTACTTCCGGCCGTGCCTGTTTTCCTTAAAATTGTTACGTTGCATTGATAAACACAATAAAATGAGAATCTCAGCGAGAAGCTCAGAGTTCTGGGTGCAAATCATGCTCAAACTTGATTGAGCTTAAAAGATATACGGAAGTGTTAGAGTTGAAATAGAGGTATTACTAGGCCTATATGCCCAAGTAGAATCTTTAGAGTCGAAGTATAAGGTCTTACATTTTGCTAAAGATAATTGTAACCGTGATCATGGGACTAATGTGTCATGACATTGCATCAAAGCCCTACTGCACTGTTTTGAACAAGACAGTCAACGTTATTCATATCATGTGGGGGTGGTCATAATGTTTTGGCTCACCAGTGTGTATATGTGATGGCACTAAAGACACATTGCCCCTAAAATATGCACAAAAAGGCAGAATTTAAAACGTATTCAACTCATCCCAAGAGGTCATGACGTGATATTTTGAAGTATATATGTACTCCATTTAAAATACTACAGTAGCAATGAACTAGCTATAGGCATTCTGACGAAAAACAATCATTGTAATATATAATGGAAATTGGAATACTCAGACGCAACGAGTAGATAGTTTCAAGTTTCAGAGAAAGTTGTGAGTAATCAGATGTGTCCAATAGATGGCAGTGTGGTACTTAGAACAGTTACAATGCTGCACTACTATTTTAGATGCCGTCATGTCACCCACTCCAACACATTAGGTGGCGCTGTGCACTCAATCGAAGAGTTTAGATCCTTAATCAGTAAACCAAAGAACAAGCGAAGGCCTGAATATATTTTGCTGTACAAGGGCAGAACGTTGCTGTATTTCTTCGACCATGCTAACCTGCTCGCTAAGAGCATTAATAGTATCTGAGTTTACATGTAAATGACAGACGTTTTATAGTTATAAACGATTAAATGTATTGGGTGGTTTTGATGCTTTGTTTTGTATATGAAGAAACTATGCTTCTATTTCATGCTAATCCATTTATAATATCAACGATAAATCCTGCCTGACACATCGCATCGGAAATCAGGTACAGTGCTGTCTGCGTGCTGTTTTATTTGTTCAGTTTGCGTGTGTTGCTAGTATATAAATAATTTAAATACTATGTACTAGTTAATTTGTTCATTGACAAATATGTCTTAAAGGTGAACATCATGTAAACTTAACGCATAAAATAGATAATGTCGGAGACCTAGACACGTCTTAAGATTTCTGAGGTATATTCGCGGTTTTAAATAGCTACTGTACCTGCTATTTTAAATCTAAATAGTCACCTACCCTGTGCAGTATATTTTCAATTGAGTAGCTCTTATATTTATTGAGCGTTGACTTTATTACACAGAATTAGCGTATTTTCCAGTCAGAACTGTAATATAATTAGTTTTAATTTTTCCAGCTTCAGTAACACTTTGCATTGCTGCATTTTTGGTGTGTTTTTGTCCAGGCTAAAAGATGTGGTTGAGAAACGTAAACGCTTGCATCTCCCTATTCAATCAACAGCCCTAATGATGCAAATTTATCTACAATCAAGTGGATCAGTCTTCTGAAAGGCTGTTGCTTTTTCGGCGATGCTACGACTATTAGCGCAACCGATCAAGTTGTTCAATTGTGTATTGTTATAAAGGGTCGTCTGATATCTTAAAGAAATGTAATCAAATTCAGTTATATTATTTGTTAATGATCACGACTCAAAATGCGCATGCTTAGTGTTTAGAAACCAGTTGTTGGATTTATATTGCAGGAATTATTTCAGTCTACTAAATAAGATGATCTGAAAATGGATAGGTGAATGTTGACATGATCTATGATTTATTTATTCCTTAAGTTTTATAGAATTGGGTCAGCCTCAACACATCGGTTCCTTTGTGACTTCAATATTTTGAAGCCCTCTGTATGCATATTAAAACTGTGATATTGTTTAAAAATGATCCTATGGACCATCTATTGCATTGTCTGATTACAGGTTATGTGCGGCTAATGTCCCTTGCACAATGAATCTGATCATATTTTTGGAAGGGAAAAAATAAACCCAGCACAAATTAGTCACAGTAACATCTACGATAACTCTAATTTCATTCTGATGTACACTCTTTTGTTACAATTGTTTTCGATTGTTAAATAACCTATTTAGATTTTCAAATCTGACGTCATGAACCTAATGCGGCTGTTGTGCCGTCACAAGACGCCCTTGGTAATCGGGGGACTCTGCCTTTTCGGAGTGATTCTCCTCTTTCTTGCAAAATGCACTTCCGAAACCCTGAAAGCCGTAGACTTGCCCGGGGCTGCCCCTCATTACGAGGTTCAGCAGCCAGAAGCGCGTCCCAAGGAGCTGTCGGCGTTTCTGGTGGTCCTGATAATAACCGGACCCAAGTACACAGAACGACGGAGCATCATTCGCAGCACTTGGCTGGCAAACCGGGACTCTGATGTGTTGAGCTACTTTGCTATTGGCACCGAGGGGCTGCCCAGTGAAGACCTTCAGAATTTGGGCACTGAACAGGTACGCCATCGTGACCTTCTCCTGCTGCCACAGCTGAGGGATTCCTATGAGAATCTTACGCTTAAGCTCCTACATATGTATACCTGGCTGGACCAGAATGTGCAGTTTAAATACGTCCTGAAAGCTGATGATGATACTTTTGCCCGCCTTGATCTCATCAAAGAAGAGCTGAAAGCCAAGGAGGTCAGCAGACTTTATTGGGGCTTTTTCTCTGGCAGGGGACGGGTGAAAGCAGCAGGCAAGTGGAAGGAGAGTACCTGGGGGCTGTGTGACTACTACTTACCTTATGCGCTGGGTGGGGGATACATCCTGTCAGCTGACCTGGTGCACTATGTGCATCTCAATGTGAACTTCCTGAAGGTCTGGCAGAGTGAAGATGTGTCTATGGGGGCCTGGCTGGCACCGGTGAATGTGCGGCGCACACACGATCCCCGCTTTGACACGGAGTACAAGTCACGGGGCTGCAACAACAAGTACTTGGTAACGCACAAGCAGAGCTTGGAGGACATGTTGGAGAAACACCAAACCTTGCAGAAGGAGGGTCGTCTGTGCAAGAAAGAAGTAAAATTGCGCCTCTCCTACATCTATGACTGGAATGTTCCACCCTCCCAGTGTTGTCAACGGAAAGATGGCATTCCATGAGGCGTCTCGCACCATTCATGGGCATTTATTTATTTTTCTCGGCTTCCATTCTGTTTTGGTATTTTACTAAAGCCATTTGTATTTTTCTGGGTACAGGGCATGGGCTGAATGGAGATATGAGTGTATATGTATGAATTCTGTCCTTGTTTTGATTCCCACAAGGTTTATCATTCAGATGATTCTGTCTCATTATGTCTCTATTCAGAGATCTGTGCAAGTGGCCTTGTAAACTGTTTTAATTTATTTTATGTATTTATGTGTTCATGTACTGTCAAGCTGTAACAAATTTCTGTAGTTTCAACTGTAGTTTCAGATAAAATATGTACTGGGAAAGCTTCTCCATTTGTTTCTGTTTGGCACTTTATCACATCTTGATAACTGGATGTTAGTAAAATTTAGTTTGCTGGACAAATTTTGATGAAATGAAAGGTGGAAATCATGCATTTTAGTCACATTTTAAATACATTATCTTTAAGTTTATGATGTATTTTTCTTATTGCAGGTGTGTTTAGAATTTAAAAAAAATAAAATAAAATTCAGTATGTTCAGTGTATAAAAATAAGTTTTCCAGAAAGAATAAGTGCAATAAGTTATACTTACATGTGAACTACTTAGAAGTTCTGTTTGAACTTCAAGCATTATTTGTATATTACTGCAGTTTTGCAAAGCTTTTAATATGAAGTATTGAAGCCTACTAATATTTAATACTGAAACTTTCATTTTGTATATTTCTTTGCCTTAGCTGATCTGCATTATTAAAAGGCTAGTGACACATTGAGGGGTATTTTACACTTTACTGCAGTATAGCACCTATTTGGATTATGCATAAGCAGATGACTGGTTTTATCGATATAGAAATATGAATATTTTGCAAAGCTCTTCCTTTTAAATAACCTACTTTTAAAATTTCTGCTCTATATGTGTAAAATCAGTCTGGTTTGGTTATTTGATTAGTTAAGGATTCTCATAGTTGTACAGTTCACGATGCAGTATGTGTATAAGAAAATCGTAAAAGGAAAATGGTGAAGTAGCATAAGAGAAGTAAATAATGAATCAAAGTGTTGGTAGAACCGATTGTATTCTAATCATATAATAATTAAAAAACCTCACACTTTCCAAGTCAGTACTGCGTGGTGAAGAAGTTATCACTGACCATCTTCTCTTCTAAACTGTACTGTATTTTATACTGCCAAGCGACCCAGCGTTGGTGTCTGGTTCCATTGGAAGGTGACATGGTGAAGATACAAAAATGCTACACCAGGAGATGAGCAACAGGCACTTGATCGACAAACATTTTTTTCTTTAGTGTGCAGGACTAACATTCTCAAGTTTCACCCTACTGAGACAGGACTGACCACCAAATCTATCTGAAATCATGAAATGTATAGAATAGCCAGCAGTTGGGAACAATAGACAATGGTAACCACTACCATCACACTACAGTATATTTTTGTCCCATACAAATTTGGTGGAACACTTTGGATGTGACACATACACATATCTGTTTGCACCATACTAAACCCCCACTACGACTACAGCAACCATCCACTAATAAACATTCCTGTTATCTTTCGTCACTCTGCTGGAAATTTGCGTACAATCCTTTAGGGAGCAAAATAAAAAATTGAGCATCATGCAATTAATATCATCAGAAGAGGTATTTAATGGATACCACAATAATGATTTAAACACCTGCAGTCCTTACCACAAACCTACATAGTCAATTTGTATGCTCTGAGCCTCTCTCCCAGACATTAATCTTCCACAAACAGTTAGCATTTCATCTTCTCCTCAACAAAGGAGAAAATAGGACACAAGGCAGGCCGGCATCCTGATGGGATTCTGGTCCATTGCATATCACATGCACACACTCACATGAAACCAGTTTAGAGACAAGTTATAGTTGAGTTAGTGACTCAACTATACACACTGCAGCAGGGAACCCGAGTAATATTGAGAAAAGCTCCACACATATCGATTGATTGTGGTATTATAACCCCAAACCATAAACATATGAGGGGGCAGTGTCAGTAATGAAATCTGAACCAAAAGGGGGGGGAAAGAGTTAAAGTGTGTGGTTTGATGGGCAGCGTATGGCTCAGTGGGCTAATCCTGTGTGCCTGTAATCAGAAGGTCGCTGGTTCAAACCTAGCCTCCGCACGTCTGTGGGTCCTTGAGCGAGGCCCTTTACCCCCCTGCTCCCTGGGTGGTACTATGGGTGGCTGGCCCTTGTGGGCAACTTACTCTACAAAGAGCAAGTTGAGGGAGGTGTAAGGACAATTTTCCCAAGGGGATCAATAAAGTATTGATTATTATTAATGGAAGAGTACAAAAAAGGGCAAGAGAGAAGAAGAGATTTGGAAACAAAGGTAATGAAAGATTAAATAAATGAAATTTAAAATTAAAAAATGCTTTCACTTACTTCCAACTATCACCTCCTGGTGGATTTTGTGAGCCCTTTTGCTTCTTTTTCCTCTGCCTCCGTGGATCTTAGTGGAAATAATCCCTACACGTCATTTACTGTGGTATGCTTTGCTTTCATTCATTCATTTATTCAAACCGATTCAGTTCTATTCTGTCCAGGTCACAGAACACTGACCAGGTCTTTGCCCTCACAAAGATACTGCAGGGTGGGAGTTTGACCAACAGTCTACATGTGCTTTTTGGAATTGGAATGGTGGTGCTCAGGAGTGTGGGGTGCAGGGTCCATTGTTATGGGCCAGTAGGTTCCTGTATAACTGGAGTGAGAGATTGGTCCTCAGTGCCAGCAGTAGGTCAGACTCATTTTCATGTTGGACTCTGCCAGGACTTTCGGAGAGAGAGATGCTGCCAAGGGGTGCAGGGTGTCTGGTTTGATAACCTTAATGTGTCATTGCTTTGTGCAGATGATGATGACCAAGAGCACCATCTAGTGGGGTCAAAAAATACAGCAAATGGTTCATGCAGCTTCATTTGGCCATCACTACCAACCACCATTTGCAGACATTTCGGTCCGATAGAAGGTTGAGGAATATCAAAACCAAATGCCACCAGGGCAGTGCCCCTCCCCCAAGCTGTAGTCACAAACAAGTCCCACTCTGATAATCCAATTCACAGACTGTCATGTTGTTCATTTTTAATGGAATCTTCATCTCAGACTTTACCTTTCACCTGACATTTAAACTCCAATATTTACTTCCCTTCTCTTTATTTAATCCTCTCTGCACCCCCTTCGTTTGCTTTAGAACTAACATTCACCAGCCGCAAGGGTGTCTTTAATCGTTTTATCTAAAACAAACATCTATCTTGAATTATGTTTTTTCACACTCAGTGTAATACATGCTGCTTTTATGTCCATCTATCATGCTGTTCTTGTTGATGAGGTGTTGTGATGAAGTTTGACTCACCATATAGGGAATAGTGCTACATATGAATAAATTAAGTTGAACTGATACTCTTCAATGGTACTTTAGGACAGTATTTCCCAACCTGGTCCTCGAGGACCCCCAGACGGACCAAGTTTCTGCTCCCTCCCAGCTCCCTGCCACATTTTTGCTCCCTTCCTGCAGGAGGAAAAACAGACTTTCTGGTGGTCCCTGAGGACCGGGTTGGGAAACACTGCTTTAAGGGACCAAGGGACCTTCAGTGCATAGGCTGCATCCTATGCAGTTTCAGGTCACCGCCAAAATTCAAGGGAGAAAACGACTGGAACTCATATGCTGACTATACACATCAAAAGCCCAGTATTTGATATGTATAGATAGGGAGTGTGAATGTACCAGATACTTGCTTGTCAAAGTCAAGTAATCTGGGGGTGATATTCCAAGAACATATGTGTCCTGCCCCAATCGTCCGCTCCTCCCGTGTGCCACGCCCCCTCATCCACCTTGTGTGGAATATCCGTGTTATCGGCTGTTTTTAGCTGTTGTTAATTAGTCTTGTGTATGTAATTCTGTGTTAGAGTATGTTTCCCCAGTCCGGTCATTGACGTCATGTTGTCGTTATATGTTCCTGAGCGCTTTACCCTTATATAATCCCGTGTTCACCCGACTCCCTGGCTCCTGCTCATGTTTCCCCGCTCTGTGTGTCACGACAATAAGTAACTGAAACGCACACATTTAAATGATAATTGGCAAAGTTCCTTTGTAAATTTATTTCCAGAATATTTAATATTTGAAATTCAAAAATGTATTGTGTTTATAGGCTGTCTATTTCCCCCCGTAGGCCTGTACTGGATAAGCTGTTGGAAGATGGTTGAATGGCTGTCTGATTTTAAATAAATATAACGAAAAAAGCAGCACATGCATTAACTAATGCAATGCAAATGCAAGCTGTAGTTACATACTTCAGCGCCGAAAAGTCTATTATTATACATATTTTGTGAAATAAGATTGATTGTTCTAGCGTAGATATCTGTATTTTAGCTATTTTTAGTTATTATTTTTAGCTAAAACATTTTCAAAAGTCCATCTACTATATGATGTTACTTTTGTGTGTTTACATACCAAGCATTGTCATAAATAAATTCTGATTGTTTTTATTACTTAATAAAATATTATTACAGAATATTATTTTGTATTATGAAGTTCTCAGTTTCCTCTTTATTTTATGTCCCATATCAATTGTGAAACAAGGTCTTCCTTTAAAAAAAACATACATACAGTCGTCCCTCGTTTATCGCGGTTAATCCGTTCCAGACTCTACCGCGTTAAATGAATTTCCGCGAAGTAGGATTCTTTACTTCTTTATTATTCGGCTGCACCTGCCGTTGTAGGATTTGCGGGGGTGCTCGAATACATAGGCCTACAGTCCATATGTACAGTAATTTTAATTTTAGTTGTAATACAGAGATGTATAATTGACTCAGACAACCAAGCGCACGCTGTATCATTTTCACTGTCTATCAACTTTTTAATGAATAAATGTTTTTGAAAAAACCACGATAGAGTGAAGCCGCGAAAGTCGAAGCGCGAAATGGCTAGGGACGACTGTATTTCAGTTAGTTAATTATTGAGGCACTATTCCAATTGAATGATCATAACTGGCTGAAAATACAATGGACCTGTGATACTTGAACTTTCCAAAGTTTACCATGACCATTAACTGAAGCACATGTAAATGTCGTTTGCATACATGGATGAAGATTGACTAGCTGAAGTTGCAGAGTGTTCCTGAGGTCATTATGAGGTCATCAACTCAGAATATGCTAACGAGATAAACCGGAAGGACATGTTTTATTACAAAATAATACTGTTAATAACAATTTGGCAGTTTGTTACAATAAACTTTCAAAAAACAGTTTCACCAAAGATGTGGTGTATGATTCAAATGGGAAAACAGTTACATATGGTTCTGTTAGTCTAATATGGGAGAATTTTCAGTCACAACACTGCATAGCTAAAAGGTGGCTGCGCCGGCGGGTCCTTGGGGGGTGACCTTGGCCAGGCGGAACTCCTTGCGAGAGCCGCACAGGTGGAAGGAGGCACAGGTGGAGTTACAGCAGGGCAGGAAGCGGCAGATGCTCACCCTCCAAAGGAACCAGCCCGGAGACCAGCAGCACCAGCACATCACAAACGTTCCGACCAGCAGTCCCAGTGTTATGTATAGGATGAGCCACAGAACATCAGTCTTGGAATCTGCGAATCATAAGCATGTTAAGTTGATGCTCTTTTGGTGGTAAATATTTTATCCAGCACTGTCTAATGCATGTGGAATGAGAGTGCTATTATGCCATTCTACATACAACTTCCATGTTTCTGTTATAGATACGTTTCCTGACCCTGGCATTTGGACTTCATTGTCCATCCATCCATCCACCCATCCCCGGGGCCTCCTCCCAGTGGGACATGCCCGGAACACCTCACCAGGGAGGTGTTCAGGAGACATCCTAATCATATGCCCGAGGCACCTCATCTGGCTCCTCTCAATGCGGAGGAGCAGCGGCTCTACTCTGAGTCCCTCCCGAATGACCAAGCTCCTCACCCTATCTCTAAGGGAGAGCCCAGCTACCCTGCAGAGGAAACTCATTTTGGCCGCTTGCACTCGCGATCTTGTTCTTTCGGTCACTACCCACAGCTCGTGACCATAGGTGAGGGTAGGAACGTAGATCGACTGGTAAATTGAGAGCCTTGCCTTTTGGCTCAGGCCTTTCTTCACCATGACAGACCGATGCAGCGCCCGCATCACTGCGGACGCCGCACCGATCCGCCTGTCGACCTCCTGCTCCATCGTCCCCTCACTCGTGAACAAGACCCCGAGATACTTAAACTCCTCCACTTGGGGGAGGACCCCATCCCCAACTCGGAGAGAGCATTCTACCCTTTTCCGGCTGAGGACCATGGTCTCAGATTTGGAGGTGCTGATTCTCATCCCAGCTGCTTCATACTCGGCTGCGAACTGTCCAAGTGAGAGCCGAAGGTCACGGTCTGATGAGGTCAACAGAACCACATCATCTGCAAAAAGCAGAGACCTAATCCTGAGGTCACCAAACCAGACACCCTCAACGCCCTGGCTGCGCCTAGAAATTCTCTCCATAAAAACTATGAACAGAATCAGTGACAAAGGGCAGTCCAACCCTCACTGGAAACGAGTCCGACTTATTGCCGACCATGCGGACCAGGCTCTGGCACCAGTCATACAGGGACCGAACAGCCCTTAAAAGGAAGTCCAGCACCCCATACTCCCGGAGCACCCCCCACAGGACTCCCCGAGGGACACGGATGAATGCCTTCTCCAAGTCCACAAAACACATGTAGACTGGTTGGGCAAACTCCCATGAACCCTCCAAAACCCTGCGGAGAGTATAGAGCTGGTCCACTGTTCCACGGCCAAGGCAAAAACCACACTGCTCCTCCTGAATCCGAGGTTCGACAATCCGGCGGACCCTCCTCTCCAGAACCCCCGATTAGACCTTTACAGGGAGGCTGAGGAGTGTTATCCCCCTATAGTTGGAGCACACCCTCCGGTCCCCCTTCTTAAAGAGGGGACCACCACCCTGGTCTGCCAGTCCAGAGGCACTGCCCCCGATGTCCACGTGATGCTGCAGATGCATGTCAACCAGGACAGTCCCACAGCATCCAGAGCCTTAAGGAACTCCGGGCGGATCTCATCCACCCCCGGGGCCCAGCCACTGAGGAGCTTTTTAACCACCTCAGCGACCTCTGCCCCAGAGATAGGGG